AGAAGAAGCCACACAGTTTTTCAAAAGATGATATTAAATTTTGGTTCAGAGACTATAACTGCTTTTTTTTTTTTAATATTTTTATTTTTTAGTTTTCGGCGGACACAACATCTTTGTTGGTATGTGGTGCTGAGGATCGAACCCGGGCCGCACGCATGCCAGGTGAGTGCGCTACCGCTTGAGCCACATCCCCAGCCCCTAGATTTCCTTAGTTTTTATCCAATGTCCTTTAAAATTTCTATGCCAGGTGAGTGCGCTACCGCTTGAGCCACATCCCCAGCCCTATAACTGCTCTTTAATTAGCGTGTGTGTGTGTGTGTGTGTGTGTGTGGGTATACACATATGTATGTTTAATTATACATATAAAAGTGCATATATGTGTATGTATGTACACACACACACACACACACACACACCACACACACACTGTAGTGAAGAATGAACCCAGGACCTTGCATGTGTTAGGCAAGTGTTCTACCACTGAGCTACATTCCCAACCCTTTTTTATTATTTTATTTTGAAACAGGGTCTTTTTAAGTTGCCCAGGCTGGCCTTGATCCTTGTGCCTCAGCCTCTCAAGTAGCTGGGATTGCAGCTGTGTGTGTCACCATCTATTTGTTTTTAAAGTAAAAAAAAATGAAAAAATTCAAATTAGACCTATTCTTATTTCATTGACATCCAAAATGTGTTTCTAGTTAATAATTGAACATAGTTTACCATCTGTTGAAGAAAATGTAACTAAATGATGCTTCAAAAAAGTTATCCTTTGCGGTTTTTGTTTTGTTTTGTTTTCTGGTCCTGGAGATGAACCGAGGGTCACTGAGCCATATCCCCATCCTTTTATATTTTTTATTTTGACACAGGTCTTCCTAAGTTGCTTAGGGTCTCACTAAGTTGCTGAGGCTGGCTTTTTTTTTTTTTTTAACATTATTTCATTTACTTATATGTGGTGCTAAGGATAGAACCCAGGGCCTTGCACGTGCGAGGTGAGCGCTCTACCACTGAGCCATAACCCCAGCCCCTGAGGCTGGCTTTGAAATTGCAGTCCTCCTGCATCAGTCTCCTGAGCCACTGGGATTACAGGCATGTGCCACCATACCAGGCTGTTTCTCACATTTTTAACAGGACCTGAAACCTAAGACAAGATCAATAAATGATATCCTGTGGTTTCATTCAGTGTAATGAATATATTAAATGAAAAAAAATTACTTGCAGTTAAGCATGGTTAAGCATCATTAATAATATTTATAGAATCAGAAATAAGAATTTTATATTTAACTTGGTACTTTCTTCTGAAAGAACTAAAGATTCTGAAAAAAGCAATCTTTTCTTAGAACTTACTCATTTATTGGAAAAGGACTGATAAGATCATATTTGTTCATTCATATAGATGATTGAATAACTTTATTGACACTTTATTATTTTTACTTTCTTATTCTGCATGTGAGGTAACAGGATAGGGTTTCATAATATCATGAATCTTTTATAGCTCAGGAGACACACTGCTTTCATGAATCAGTTTTTGCAAAGACTTCTCTGTGGTCAGAAAAGACTAAAATGGGCTTTATAACAACTTCAATTTTGGGGCTGGAGTTGTAGCTCAGTGGAAGAGTGCTTGCCTAGCATGTGTGAGGCACTGGGTTTGATTCTCAACACCACATATATAAATAAAATAAAGGTCCATCAACAACTAAAAAATATTTTTAAAAAAACTTCAATTTTTACAGCTAGCTTCAGCAAAAGTGAGGCTCTAAGCAACTCAGTAAGACCCTGTCCTGAATAAAATACAAAATAGGACTGGGGATGTGGCTCAGTGGTTGAGTATTCCTGAGTTCAATCCCTAGTCACCCCCCCTCCAACAAAATAAAACAAAACAAAATAAAACAAACAAAAAACAGACTTCAATTTTTAGAACAGTTTTAGATTTACAGAAAAATTGTGAAGATGGCACATAGAATTTTTGTATATTCTTATCAACACACTTTATGTTACTATGGTGTATTTGTTATACTTCATGAACTGATTAGATTTCCTTAGTTTTTTTTTTTTTTAAAGAGAGAGTGAGAGAGGGAGAATTTTAATATTTATTTATTTTTATTTTATCGGCGGACACAACATCTTTGTTTGTATGTGGTGCTGAGGATTGAACCCGGGCGAGCGCGCTACTGCTTGAGCCACATCCCCAGCCCCTAGATTTCCTTAGTTTTTATCCAATGTCCTTTAAAATTTCTTTTCCGGTCTCAGGATCCTGTTTAGGATACCACATTACTTTTAGTTTATTATATGTCCTTTGGCTCCTCATGGCTGTGACATTTTCTCAGACTTTTCTTGTTTTTGGTAATCTTGACAATTTTGAGGAGTACAGGTCAGTTATTTTATAGAATTATTTCTCCTTTGGAATTTGTACAATTTTTCTCATTATTAGATTTTTAAAATTTTTTATAATTCGATTTTTTTTCTCTATTATCATGGGTTCTGGGGAGGAAGACTATAGAGGCAAAGTGACATTTTTATCAACATGACTCATCACTGTTGATGTTGACCTTGATCATCTGGCTGAAGCAGTGCTAGTCCGGATTTCTCCACTGTTAAATTGCCCCTCCCCCTTTCCATATTGTATTTTTGGGAGGAAGTTCTCAAAGGAGTGGGGAGTTATGTTCCACCTCCTCAAAGATGAAGTATCTACAAATTATTTGTAATTCGTCTGCATGGGAGAAAGCAGGGGTATACTCAGTGGTAGAGTACGTGCTTAACATTCACAAAACCTTGGGTTTAATCCCCAGCACCAAAAGAAAAAAACAAAAACAAAAAAGGACTCGCTTAACTAAATTACTTCTTATGCTTAGGTATGAACATCACTTATCTTTTTTTTCCCCCTTAAAAATGGTTATTGAAACTTAGAAATGCAGGAAGCATATAAAGCAAGAGCAAATAGAATTACCCTTAATTCCAACTCTAATCATCAACATAGCATTTGTCATTTCCTTCCAGTTTCTCTGCATAAAGTAGCTTTAAAAAGGTTTTTTTTTTTTTTTTTTGACAAAGAGTTTGGTTGTTTTTCGGTATTGGGGGATTGAACTTGGGGGTATTTTACCACTGAGTTACATATATCCCCATCCCCAGTCCTTTTTATTTTTATTTTGAGACTGGGAGGGTCTTTCTAAATTGCTAAGGCTAAGGTTGGCCTTGAACTTGAGATCCTCCCAAGCAGCTAGGATTACAGCTGAGCACCACTGGGCTGGAAAGTAACTATTTTAATCCAACATTTGCTTGAAAAAGTTCCATATGAACAATTTTTATCTTTGAATTTGACAAAGATGGTAGATTCATATAAAAATAGCAGATCTTGGTAGCATTCGTAAGCAAATTTCAGAATATAAAATATTTACCAGTAATTATTTATGAAAACTTTTTAGACTCTTTTTCTTTATTTAAAATAGTATAAATAAGATTTGAAGAAATTTGGAGACTTGTTAAAAACTCAGGCAATGATCTAGGCATCAAATTTCCAATTTAATTGGTGATTTAGACTCATGGCAACTTTTTCTTTTTGAAACAATTATTATTATCATATATATATTTTTAGTAAAAATGCTATGTTTATTAAACATTTTTATAGTTCATTTCAATGTATGTTCAGAACTATTCCTGCAGAAGTTAAATTTCAGACATCTAATTTAGGTAATTGCCTCTTGAGTAAAACAAAGAATGACAGTCTCAACATAGAATTTATTGATTTTGTAAAGGTGATACACAGTTATAATATAAAATCAAGCAATATAGAGAAGTACAAAGTAAAATCCAAAAATTCTGTTACTTAGAACCATTATTAACATTATCCTACAAAAAGCACTCCTTGTATAAATTATAAAAAGTCTCATATAATACATGCTTTACTGTTACTAAATGTTACTAAAATTAATAGAAGTGTTAAATTTTGATAGATAGTGTTTAACAGAAATGTTACTAAATTTAACTATTTTGTTACTAATTTTTTTGTACCAGGGATTGAACTCAAGGGCACTGAGCCACATCCCCAGCCCTATTTTGTATTTTATTCAGAGACAGGGTCTCACTGAGTTGCTTAGTGTCTTGCTTTTGCTGAGGCTGGCTTTGAACTTGCAATCTTCCTGGCTCAACCTCTCCAGCCACTGGAATTACAGATATGCACCACTGTGCCTGGCTTTTGTTACTAAATTTAACAGAAGAAAATGAAGCTGAAGCAAAATGAAGGAATCACTAAACTTTAGTTAAATGTTCTTTGCTAAGATATATTAATTCCTATGAATTCCTTTCAAGTTTTATAAAAAAGATTATGAAAAATATTAGGAAGTTAAGTATCTACATGATTAACTCCTTTTCTCCGTGGTTGGGGATCAAACCCAGGATCTCATAAATGCTAGACAAGTACTCTACTACATCTCCAGTCCCATGATTCACTCTTAAAAAGTAATTGAGCCAGACATGGTGGTGTAGGGCCTTAACAGCAGCTACTTGGGAGATTAAGGCAGGATAGCAAGTTCAAGTCCAGGCTTGGCAACTTAGGGAGATCCCGTCAAAACAAAAATTAAAAAGGGATGGTGGGGCTGGGGATATGGCTCAAGCGGTAGCGCGCTCACTTGGCATGCATGGGGCATTGGGTTCGATCCTCAGCACCACATAAAGATGAAATAAAGATGTTGTGTCCACCGAAAACTAAAAAATAAATATTAAAAAAAATCTCTCTCTCTCTCTAAAAAAAAAAAAGGGATGGTGACTGGGTGTGGTGGCACACACCTGAATTCCTAGTGGCTTGGGAGGCTGAGGCAGGAGGATCATGAGTTCAAAGCTAGCCTCAGCAAAAGCAAGGTGCTACGCAACTCAGTGAGACCCTGTCTCTAAATAAGATACAAAATAGGGCTCGGATGTGGCTCAGGGGTTGAGTGCCCCTGAGTTCAACCCAGTACACCAAACCCCCGCCCTTCCCCCCCTAAAAGGGATGGGGATGTTCACATCCCATGCATGTCAACAATCACCACTAGGAATGTCACTTATATGGACACAGAAACATAAAGGACTTAATATATCTGCACCTAAAAGTCCTCTTTAAGGTGGACTTCCACCATCATTTAGAAGTTTTTATAAAGCATTAAATTCTACTTTTTAGAATTTAAGAACCCAGTGGTGTTTAACCACTAATCCACATCTGCAGCCCTATTTCTATTTTATTTCAAGACAGGGTCTCTCTAATTGTTTAGGGCTTCACTAAGTTGCCGAGGCTGGCTTTGAATTCACAATTCTCCTTCCTCAGCCTCTTGAGCCATAGGGATTTATAGGTACGTACCACTGTGCCTGGCTTGTTTTTTATTTTTAAAAAATGTTTGGGACAAATAGTACCTCCAAATAATAAAATATTTGCTAATTTTCCATTTGCCTTTCTTCCTGTGTAGTGAGTACTTTGATTTACTATTTTTTTTTTTTTTTTTTGGTACTGGGAACTGAACCCAGGGGTGCTTTACTATTGAGTTACAACCTTAGGCCTTTGTATTTTTTTATTTTGAGATAGGGCCTCACTAGGTTGCCAAGGCTGGCCTTGAATTTGTAATCCTCTTGCCTCAGCTTCCCAAATCAATGGGATTACGAATATAGGCCACTGTGCCTGGCAGGACTTTTTATTAATTTTGGAGATCATTAAACCATGACTTCTAGCCTAAACAGTTCACCTGATCTGTAGCTTGGGTATAGCACAGTGATTTGATATTTTAAAATGATAGTATGATTTCTCCAGCAATTAAGGCAATACGAAATAAAGAGTAAAATATACTTGTTTGTGGGTTTTTAATCCTGACAATTTATATTGAGTTAATTAAATAATTTTGTTTTTGTGGTTTGAAATCTCCACTAAAAATTAGGTATATATAATCAATATGGATGAACTACTCAGCTTTACTATGTGTAAACAAAGGGTTAAAAAACTCAAAAAAGTTACAAACATGTCAACACAAATAAGAACACAAAACACAAGAATCATGTTATATTTATTTCTACCAACAACAACAACAACAACAGGGCTGGGGATGTGGCTCATGCGGTAATGCGCTCGCCTGGCATTCCTGTGGCCCAGGGTTCGATCCTCAGCACCACAAACAAAGATGTTGTGTCTGCCAAAAACTAAAAAACAAATAAATAAATATTTAAAAAAAAAAAAACAACAAAAAACATTGAATTGATGAAAACTTCCTTCTCAATTTGCAGTTTTCCTATCTTAGTAGCCTTTGACCAGTCTGATACCTAAGAATAAGTCAATTTCTTTGTAATGATCTTTAAAAGATGCTCTAAATTCTTTGGTTATACCAAAATGTAGTAGATATTGCTTTTAATAAACCACTGCCTAGAGTTTAGAAATCATTTTCTTACAAAGCCTTTTTAAAATGTGTGTGTATGTCTGTTTGTAACAGGATTTGACCTGTAACTGTTATTGAGAATTTTCTTCAAGGAGTTCAAAGCATTTTACAGGGATCATCTCATTTATCCTTCGAAAGTAAGGCAGAGGTATTATCTCTACTATAGACTAAGAACACTAAAAGGCCAAGATAGGTGGGGTTTTTGTTGTTGTTTTGCTAAGATCAAAAAGTAAGTCTAGGGCAAAGCCAGATTCCGGTCTGACCTTGTTACATGATTCTTCTGTAATACAATGCTGCAGCTTCCCCTAGTCTCTCTTTGGCCATGCTGAATGAATCATTTTCAGAATTGATTTCTCACTCATTCCTGTTCCCTGAAAATGGATATTAAGATGTAGGTAAATACAAAAGAAAATTCCTCAGTCCTTCCCATATTGCTTTGGGGTACAGGATACCAGACAGGAGAGGCATCTTCCTCCCTTCTTCCAAATCTTACTATGCAACCCAGTGTTACCTCATAGAAAAATAACTCAGAAAAAAAACAAAAAACAAAAAACAATAACTTGGGCCAAAAATGCAAGTCACATATATAATTTTAAATCTTCTAGTATTTACATTAAAATATATTGTACTCAGCTAATATATATCAAACATTAACACTTTAATATGTAATCAATATAAAATTATTAATGCTATTTCACATTCTTTTTCTTGTATAAGTCTTCAAAATCTGGAATGTATTTCATACACTTAGAGCATACTTTAATTTGGACTAGCCATATTTCAAATGCTCAGTTGCCATGTGTGATCAGAGGGGACTCCTTTGGACAACACAGGTTTAGAACTAGGCCTCAGTGGATCTCTCTTCAGACTGATGCGTGAATGGAACTGGTGATACAGGAATCATGAGTGACTAGTGACCCTGGAGGATAAGAAGCCCTAGCTCTGCTTTTTGCTGATACATGACTGGGGAGTTGTGGAACTAGTAGATTGCAACCTCTCAAAATGTATCTAATGATACAACTTCACTGTCAGGCTTGGTTCACATCCTATGTGAGAACTCCAGCAACTGCAATGGAACCTGTCAAATTCTAGGGCTGCAGTTTCCTGGGGCTCTGGTATGTGGCCTGAGGAAAGGAAGTACCACCTGGGAAAGAGAAAGGTTCCGTGAGGGGAAGGCCACTCAACTAGGTGCTGCTTGAGGGCAGGGGCTCCATCTTGGTGCTTCCTGAAGGCGGGGGCTCCCTTTGTAGCCTCAGATGGGGCCTTTCAGCAAGCCTCAGAACCAGCTTGATGACTGAATGCAAGTGCTTCCACCAAGTGCTCCGGGAGGCCCTGGGGATGGGGATGTCAGCGCTCAGGCCCGCACCCCGAAGTGGCTCCACTGCCTCAGGTGTGAGGGGCGGGCCTAGGCCTCAGCCCGCGCCGCCCCATGTGACCCGGTCCGACATGGTGTCGCCTCCTCCCGGGGCGGCGGCGGTGGCTCGGGCTCGGCTCCACGTTGGGCCGGCCCCGCGGCCGCTCATGGGCAGCCAAGGCCGCTCGGGAACCCCCGGGAACAGCGGGCCGGGCGAGGGCGAGGGCGGGGAGACCAGGGAACTGCAGGAAGCGAGGGTCGTGCGGGGGAAGCGAAGGAAGGGGAAGGGAAAAGCCGGCGCAGGGCAAGGCGGAAGAGGAAGCGGGGCGGAAGGGAAGCCGGGGCTGCAGCAGGCGCAGGAGGCTGCGGGGTCGTGGGTAGAGGCAGAAGCTGGGGCAGGCCCGGGACGGGACTCAGAGGGAGGCGGAAGCGTGGAGGAAGGAGCGGGAAGCATCGAGAAGGGAGATGAAGGGAGCACAGGGGCTGGGAAGGAGGCACAAGGAAGACTTGATGGGAAAGAGGAGGAACGGAGAGGCAGGACTGGGCGGCGGGAGGATGCCAGGCCGGGGAAAGCACAGGGACAAGACGGTCAGGCTTGGGGCGGCATCGCAGGGACAGGAGCGGCCATGGCGGCGGCAGCCGAGGAGGAAGCGGCGGCTCGGGAGCCCGCTGCTCGGCCGGCTGCAGGGCCCGCGCTCTGGCGCCTGCCCGAGGAGCTGCTGCTGCTCATCTGCTCCTACCTGGACATGCGGGCCCTCGGCCGCCTGGCGCAAGTGTGCCGCTGGCTGCGGCGCTTCACCAGCTGCGACCTGCTCTGGCGCCGGATAGCCCGGGCCTCGCTCAACTCCGGCTTCACGCGGCTCGGCACCGACCTGTAAGCGTCCGCTCGCCGCCCGCTCCCCGCCCCGGGCCGGCCAGCATCCCGGGAAAGGGCGGGGCGCCGCGGCCTGGTCGGCCCGGGGCCGTGTCGCACCCCGAATTCCGAGGCCCAGACCCGGCCTCCGCCGAGACCCCTCCCAAAGCACTCTCGGGATCCAGTGCCTCTCCTGTCCAAGGTCCCCATTTTAGGAAGCCCCCAAGAGCATCCCTCAGTCAGCACCCTCCCCATAGGGCGGCTCTTCGCTATTACCCATCTTAAACACTCCCTTGAGCTTTTAATTGTGGCTTTTCGCGGACCTTTGACTGCCCCGGTTCCTCAGCCCAAAGCACCTAGGACCCGTGGTCTGTCATGCTTTGGACGATTTCTCCAATCCAGGTCGAGGACCCAGGTTCATAAATGGTCTATCAAAATGTTTTTGAGGATGTTCATCGTCCCTACTCTCTTCTAAAGGTGGTTAGGCGCAGATAAAATCAGATATGAAGAAAAAAGACTCAGGTCCTAAAAGAAAGCACTTAGTCCCATTGTCAACATAATTTAAGACTTGATACAGGCAGAAGAACCCAAAAAGCGTGCCTGCTTGAGGCAAGAGGCTGGATTAGTTCTAGGCCCTGTCCTAGGTATTGCGGTTTGGCCTGTTTTGAGTAGGGTGTGAGACCTGTAAATGAAAACTTTACTGAACAGTTAAACTGTTAAATAGAAAGGGGGAAAAATGTATGGAATTGGAATAAATGCTTTCAGATTGCACGCACTCTATTCAATTATAGTAGAATAAAGTTAACACAATCAACCATTTCCATTTAAATTTTTTCAGTTGCACCTCCCCCATCGTCGCTGTCTTACTGATCCTAACAGAATGGGTGCATAATGAATAATTTAATGCATTATTGGGTAACACCTTTATTGAGATTTCACACACCATTGTCTTTTGAATTAATTTCTTAGGATAAAATTTCAGGATAGGTGTTATTGGATCAAAGGTTATGGCTTGCAAAGTCGTTGGACCAAGTTAGGTATACCAACAAAAAAATGACTGAACCAATTTCATGTGAGAATTTAAAAAAAACTTTGCTACCTCAGTGTTTATCTGATGATATGTCCAATTTGATATTTTGTATCTCTTAATCATGGCAAGGATAAATATCTTCCTACCTGTTTGTTTCACATGTGAGATTGTGTCTTCTAACTCTTTGCGGATTTATTATTGGGGTCTTGATGTTTTTCTTATACATTTGGAGTTTTTGTGGATCACAAATGTTAAACTCTAGCCTGTCATCTTTGGTGCAGAAATTTTTTTTTCCAGTCAGTTCTTTTTACTTTACTGGTTTTGTCTTAGAGAAGTTTTATACTTTATTAGAATCTGATATTATGATTTTTTTCCCCAAAAACTGAAAATATATAATTCTCCACAGACCTGATAAATCTCTTTGATTTGTCACTGGCTTTCTTATAACTTGATTTTTAAGTAGTTAACACTTTCATTTCATTAGTATCACTTTTGTTTTGGTGCAAGAAGTGAATTTAGCTTACTATTTTTTTTTCCCCTAAATGGTTGTTTAGTTATCATCACATCTTTTGTGAAATTTACTCTCTGTAGATATGCATGTATATTTGATTTATATCTGAATACTGTTTTGCTCTGATATATATTTTCATTTCCATACCATTTTAAATATTGTTGCTTTTTTGATGGAGTCTAATATCTGTTAGAGTTTGATTATACTTTTTGAATTTATGTGTGTCACATCTCTACATCTACTTGATTCCAAACCAAAAAAATTTCTGTGTCTTTTTATGTATTTCTGTGGGTTTGTACCACTGTAACGTTCTTGCATATCAGTTGTTATTCTTGTGCTTCTAAGTATCTTATACATTTGATTATTGTTCCAAACGTCATCTTTTTTTCTGTATGTTTCCAGCAGAGTATAATTGATGTACAGGAGTACTATAAATTTTGTAAATTTTGAACCTGATCATTTTGCTGTTCTATTATGTTTTGCTGTTCTATTATTTGCTGTTCTATTAAGTTTTTCTGTTCTATTATGATTTGTTGATGATAATAATTCTTTGGGGTTTTTTTGGTGGGGGTGTGTGTGTGTGTGTATGCCATCTTGTCAAAAATAGTAGTTTTTTTTTTTCTTCTCTTGCTTTCTTATCAGAGTAACTCTTTCAAAGAATATTATCAGTTGACCTATAGGAGAAGTTGGTTAAAATGATTGGAACCCAAGCTAACTAACCAAGGCAAAGTTTGGCTTTCTATTGCTTCTTACTGAGACTGAATGAATGAAGGAAAGAATTGGTGTTTATTTTTCTTTCCCTTTCAAATGTTCTAAAAGAGACTTAGTAGGAATAAGTCTATGTTCTGATAGTGGGAATAATAACAAAATGAAAATGAAAACAAGTTTATAGTGTAAAAGAACTTTGAGACTGCCAGATCTCATTATGGCTTTACTAGTTTTTAGATGTGTGTGTTTTGATTTCTTGCCTGTGTCCTAGCATGAGATATCACCTGCCTTCCAGGGAAGTTGTTTTGCCATAGCATTTGATAAAGAACAGGGTCACTGCTCATTTTTCTGGGTTGAGGGGACAAATTATGTGTGTTACAGCAGGTGGAGAGAGTTTTGCCAGTGTGTTCTGCTTCTGGACAGCTGCAGAGACTTAATAAACCACTAAGAGAGGAGATCGTCATCCCTGGAGAGAGAAACTTGTACCCCAGGTCTCTTAGGACATCACGGAACCTGGGCCCAAAGTACTGTAAGAGTATGACTACATGGATAGCACAAAACCTGATTTTTATCAGAAGCCACATAACCTCACTGGCTCTGAGTTTTATCATCCATAAGGAATGGCTATAACATTGCCAATAAAATGAGGCTTCAATATCATGTGCTAGCATCATGTTCATATAATAGTCACTCAATAAGTTGTTGTGAAACAGAACTTTTTATTTGCTTGACTTCTCCTATAAGTCTGTAAATGGCAAAAGTGGGGATGGTTATGATTTGGAGGTGCTGCCTAATTATCTCCTCCCCTGAATTAGTTTCTCTCACCTGCCCTAAATGTTTTCACAAACCTGACAGCCCAATCTGTGGGCATAGTGCCTGTGCTCACTGCTTAAGAGTCTTCTGATTCTTAAGAACACAAACTGCTAAGGTTTACTGACCTTCCGGCCCAGGGCAAGTCCTGTTCAGTTTGGCTCTTCTAACTGATCATGGCTTTGTTGAGTAAGATGAACTGCTTTGGTTCCTTGTGATTTGTTAATGGTCTTATACTTGTGCTTCAAGGCATTTGGGCCACTTTAAAACCACAAACAAATAATTTGCTTCCCTTTAGGCCTCTTGCCCAAACAGTGAACACTAATAGGTATCCTGAGCTCTTCCCCCTACCCCCCCCCCCAAGGGACACAGATATGAGTGAGTCAGTCATCTGATTTAAAATCAGTTTTGTTTGAAGGCTTTATGAAGCCTGAGGGAATAGAAAGATCTTGAATATAATAATAAAAAGGCAATGTTTCATACAACAATCTTTTAAGTTATCCCCAAAGAATAGAAGTAAAACTAGCCTACTTTAGTGTACAGGAACAAAATAGTGGAATTCAACTCTGTCAGTATAAAATGCAGGTTGAATGCAAGAAGTAGAGGGATGACCAGTGAACAGCAGAGGTGCTAACTGCAAATTCTGATACTGCAAAATGAAAGAGTATATCTGTGCATATGTAAGGGTATATGTGTGTGTGTGTGTGTGTGTGTATGTATATATATATATATAAAGAATAATACTTTGCCATTTCTATGCTAAAGAAAACTTACTTGATCTCCTTCCTCCCTAATTAAGTGCTACATATTTTCAAACAGCAATTCCATTTTAAATACCATATAAGCAGTACCTGGGTGCAAATGCTGTCTTGCATTTGCCTGTGATAGATTTGCCTGGAATTAAAAATAGGTGTTTGGGGAGTGAGGCTTCTGAGGTGTTTGCTCTGGCACGCACACTCATTCCTCCTGCGGGGTCCTATGGTATTGGAGCTCTTTGAGGCTGGGGACCAGAGGTATCTATTTCACTGATGATTAACATCCAGAGTGGTAAGATAGACACAGATAAGTAGAGTGTGTTTGTTTGTTTTTAAATGATTGCACATAAGAGCTTTTTTTTGGGGGGGGGGCACCCAGAAAGCATAATGCTTCTTTTCTTAACTCTGAATGGAGAGGCCATTGATGACTGGTTTACCCGTAAGGCCTAAACTGTATTTTTCAGAGAACAATTAGCAATTCCAAGTAGCTTAGGCTTTCTCCTTCCCTTTCCTGAGTTAACTAGGGGTAGTAATTTGTTCTCTAGATCACTGAAAGGTTTCATTTATGGATATATTGTCTTTAGCCATTTTGGAAAGACTTTTTTTTTTTTTTTAATGGCTCTGGGAGTTAATAAAAGTTAGGATTTAGCTTACATGCTCAAAATAAATAAAACAATGCACCTGTGGAGGAAGCAGGAAATGGTCAGTACAGTCATTCCCTTCAAGTGGAAACTGGAAGAATGGAAGCACCTTCTCCAAGACAGCAGGAATATAGAAGCTGCCTGTGTCCAAATTTTACCAGTAAAATTTGGTAGTGGTGGTGGGGTATTCCTAGCTTCCAAGGCAGAAACATGGAAAAACCCAAAGTCTTCACAATCTGCAATATAAATTCATATTGGAAAGAGATCTCTGAAAGTATTTCAGTACCCCATTCTTTAGTTTTCTGTGTCTAGAAACTTCACCTTAGGTAAAGATTGTATTTGAGCTGCTGAAATTCAGCTAAAGTGAGGTTACTGAGTAGGCATACAGTTTTTTTTTCAACATAATTTTTTGAGTGTTTGATTAGAAAAGAATTACCTTTGTGTGATGTGACAACTTAACCTTAACTGTGCGTTGACCTAGCCTTGGATTAATTTCTGGTCCTGATTATTAATCATAGAACAGGGAGAAATTCAGGTAGACTCTTCTTGAGGCCAGGTTCTGGTGAATT